CATTACGAGTCAGTTTTAAGTTCTGTGCCATTGGAGTGCTAGCAGGTTTGCATCCCAGAAAACCGGTTTCTTCTAAAATTTCCAGCGCATATTTTCGTTGACACAAGTTTAAACCATCCTCTGTTCTTTTTGCTTCAATCCGCAGAAAGTAGCCAAGAGCTCCCAGGTCTTTGATTTTAAAAGTTTCATCCAAAAAGCTTTTTAATTCCTGAATAAGATCCATCCTGGCACTTGTGACTAGAATGTCATCGACGTAGACTAAGATAGCAATGAAATCAACATTGTTTCCTCTGGTGAATAATGACGGATCAGATTTAGACTGTTTAAAGCCGATGTCATGTAGAGCAGCACATAATTTTGCATTCCATTTTCTGCTGGCTTGCTTGAGGCCGTATAGAGATCTTTGCAACCGGCAGACTTGGTTGGGTTTTGCATTCTAGAAACCTAGGGGCAGCACCATGTATACTTCTTCGTTGAGATCTCCGTGAAGAAATGCGTTGTTTATACCCATTTGATGAACATGCCAAGACTTGGAAATGGCCATTGCTAGAAATGTACGAATGGTTGTGATTCTGGCCACAGGAGAGAACGTTTCCAGATAGTCTATGCCAAGTTGTTGGGTGTAGCCTTTTGCAACCAACCTTGCCTTGTGGCGTTCCATAGTCCCATCTGCCTTTAGCTTGGTTTTGTATACCCATTTTCATTCTATGGGAACCTTTCCGTGGGGGAGATCAGTCACTTCCCAAGTCTTATTTTGCTGTAAAGCTTCTATTTCTGCATCCATCGCTCTCTTCCAACATTCGTTGTTGACTTCCTGAGAGTAGCTCCGAGGTTCACTGATGGCAGGTGCCATTGAGAATATCTTGTGTGGGGGTTCAAGAACTTCATACGATATAACCTTTGATAGTTGGTGAGGAGTGGTTCTGTGTAGCACAGCCGAGTCGCAGTAGAAGTCTTGCAAGCGACTAGGTATGTGCCGTTGTCCAGATGATCTGCGTAGCTATGTGGGAGATATAGACTGAGCCAAGCTTGAACTGTCCATACTGCTATCTTGGGTGGAGTGTAGATGATTTTCTGCTGATGTATACCCATTTTCTGCTGGTTCATGTGTGACATTCTCCAGTGGTTCATCAAATTCTTCGTCCACTGGTTCATGGGGTTAGCTACTGACTTGATCAGTCTGCATGTGATGGCTTTCAACACGGTTACTGCTTAGGGGCAGTCTAATATCCATCAGCCAATCTCCTTCTTGTGGTTGAGCATTGTCTAAACTTTGAAAATTGAATTCCTCATAGTTGGATGTGGGAACTAGAGGTAGGGGGGCCAATAGTGGGATCATTTGTCTTGATCAACTGATACTCTTTCTCAGCAAATGGAAAGTCGCCTTCATAAAAGGACACATCACGTGAAATAAAAACAGATTGATCATGTATATAATAGAGCAAATATCCCTTAACATGTGCAGGCATTCCAATAAAAACACATTTTCTGCTTCATGGTTCCATCTTATTTCTTGACTGAGGTAGTGTGGAGGCATAACATAAGCATCCAAGCACTCTGAGGGTAGTGAGATCAGCTTCTTCTCTATATAAGCGAAGATAAGGGCTTGACCACTCAATAACCGGTGACGGGAGGCGATTGATAAGATAAACTGCATGTAAAACACATTGGCCCCAAAATTCCAATGGAAGATTAGCTTGAAATCTCAAGGATCTTGCCACATTCAATATATGTTGGTGTTTGCGTTCAACCACCGCATTTTGTTGGGGTGTGTTGACGCAAGTCTGTTGATGGATTATCCCATTCTCGGCAAAGAATTCGTTCAAGTTAAACTCCAAACCATTGTCACTACGAATGGTCTTGATCATGAGACCAAATTGTGTGTATACCATCTTTTGAAACCCCTTAATTAGACTTCGTGTCTCAGACTTGTTTCTCATCAAATGAACCCATGTATATCGTGAGTGATCATCTACAATCGTTAGAAAATATCTTCCCCCCTGCCCCTAAAGATTTAATCACAAACGACCCCCAAATATCCATATGAATCAATTCAAAACAATCTTTGGTTATTGTATTACTCAAAGAGAAAGGAAGTCTCTTATGCTTTGCAAAGTGGCATACATCACATGGTGTTTTGTTGAATTGAAAAGTAGGAACATCAGTAAGTAGATGCATCTTATTACGAGGAAAATGTCCTAGCCTGCAATGCCAAACTTCAGTGCTGGATGACATAGCAAGATGTTTGTGACTAAATGCCTACATTCTTGGTGATTCAAGCATCAAATACAATCCATTTCCTTCCTTAGCAAAACCAGTCGTTTTCCCATTGTTCCCCCGAAGAACACACTTGTGAGAAGTGAAAATTAGCTCATAAGAAGAATCCTAAAGCAGTTTGTTAACAGATATTATATTGAAATTGAAGGATGGTATATGCAGCACATTTCTTAAGCACATATCGTCCCTTAGTCTTATTTCTCCCACGTGGGTGACATCTACTTGTTTCCCATCAGTTAAATTGACAGTTGTTCCCTTCACATTATGATAAGATTCAAAGAAATCCAAACAGCAAACTATGTGATCACTGGCCCCAGAGTCTAATATCCATGAAGAAGGCTGAAGGAAAACAGAGTTAATATTAGGGAACTTGCCTTCATCAGACAATTGCTTTGTCTTTGCCTTAGGAGTGAGGGAAACTGCAGCCATAGTTTAGGACTGATTCTGTCCAATCTGGACTTGAAGGAGAGAAATTAGCTTTTGAATATGCTCATTCGAAATGCTACTGTCATTGTTCATAGAAGTGGAAGCTACTGCCATGGATTGTTTCCTTCCCTTTGACTTGAATCCCGGCACCCATCCGGGGGGCATTCTTTTTGTAGCATTTCTCCACCGTATGCCCCGTCATACCGCAATTGGTACATTTTGTAGTTTTGTTTCCTCCTCCAGAATTATTGAATTTCCTGTTATTGTATTGATTCACAGCAGCTACAATATCTTTACCATTAGTAAGATCAGTTTGAGTAGCATTGGCATGACTTACCTCTATCTGATTCACAGTCAGATTCTCAATGTTTAGCTGCCTTTCAAACTTTTCAGCCATGACAAATACCTTGTGCATGTCTGGCAGAGGATCAAGGATTAACACTCCAGATTTCAACGAGTTGAACTCGTCATTCAAGCCCTGTAGAAACCTAATGATTTGGTCAATTTCACGTTCGTTCCTAATTTCTTCAAGAAGGTTGCATGAGCATTGCGGATCACATTTGCACATCGGCAATGGTCTGAGCTCGTTCATCTGCTCCCATAGGATCCTGCATTACGTGTAGTAGTCATTGACGAATAGATTTCCCTGTCGCAAAGCATAAATCTCCGTGTGTAATGAAGAAATCTAGTGAGGATCTCACTGAGAGAACCGCTTCTTTAGATCATTCCATGCCTCCTTCGCATTCTGGATGTGCATTATACTTTGAGCGATGGAAGGGTGGATTGACTTGTAGATCAATGCACAGATCATAAGGTTGCATCTCCTCCACGCTGAGTAGCGAGTATGCGTCCTATCTGGTGCGGCTACACCTCCATCCACGATGCTCCACTTGTTTTTCACCTCCAGCGCCATTCGCATGGAGATACTCCAAGTGCCATAATTGGCACTTCCTGTGAGAGGGGGGCTAACGAGAGTTGCATTGGCGCTTTCGTTGCTGCTTAAAAAAAGCGGATTCTCGATGTCTTCGATGATACGACTCCTCTGCAGAGTCGCGGTTCTCTGAGGAGAAGTTTGGATGGGAGACTAATTGACCGGCCCCGACGGCAAAGTTCTCTGGCTAGCTTCTCCACCACCGGTGACGGCAGCTACGTAGCTGTGGCCATCTTTGCGCAACTCTGATACCATGTTGGCTTGTGGAGTTAGTTGAAGGTTCAGATGAAGCAGTAGCAGAGAGTATGAAAGGGAAAAACTGTGTATGTATTCATCTTGAAAGGATTAAAGTAACAAACCAGCTCTGGGAACGATACAGAGTATATATGGAGAAGGATGACGGTTATGGGGTTGTTACAACTGATCAAGAAGAAAAGAATTACAAGAAAGCGCATGCAGCTTAACTATATTGATGCCCTTGTCTAATCTTCACGTCTGCATTGTATTGTTTAATAGGTGTGGAGCTTTTTGATCCAGTCGATGTGACGCACCGCCGCCTGGTCGTCCAGTTCTTCCCAGAGCGTTAGGTACTGTATAATGTAGATGACGCCTTTCCGGTGGGGGATGGGGTGGCGGATTCAGAGATGTTGGCCATCATGCCGCCGAAGGGATTCCAGATCGTCAACGTTGGGGCCTCGGCGACATCCGCAGTACAGGTTCCCAGATTCAGCTGGAAACCCAGGATACAGTCGCCATGATGGTTTCTTAAAATCCCGCCGCAGCCGGCAGTGTCGTCCCTTGTTCTACTACTTCCATAATATGAATATAAGTAACGTTGGAAAGGGGATGTCTGGAATGAAAGGGCTGACACAAACTTAGTCATTAAACAAACAACATTATAGCTATAACTCTTAACAGGGCGTTTGGTTGGAGGGGGGGAATTATGTGGGAAAAGAATTGTAATTCCATGGGAGTTGAATTACTGGGAATAAAGTGGGAATTTAAATTCCAGTGTTTGGTTGATAGGAATAGAATTACTAGGAATTTCAATTCCAATGTTTGGTATACATGGGAATTGAAAGGGAATAAGTAGTATAAAGTCAAAAATGTCCATTATTGTTGTTAGACATTAATTTTAGGTTAAAAAAGGAAGGGGTAATTTTGACTCACCACTATCTTTTTTTCCCAGGAATTAAAATACCAGGGGGGGGACATGGGATTTTAATTCCATGAAAATGGGGGAATTGCAATTCCATGGAATTGCAATTCCCTCCAACCAAACTACGGAATTTAATGGCCTTTGGAATTAGATGGGAATTAAGTGGGAAGGGAATTTAAAATCCCTCCAACCAAACGCCCTGTAATATGTAAACAACAAAAAGATCATAGAGCTCAGCGTTTTCTACCGCCCCTACCAAGCTTAGGACCTTTTGCTGGTGCAGCGCCCTTGGGAATGTTACCCTTCCCTGCCTTTTGCGACTTGGCCATCACGTCTGCCTTCTTGGCCTTCTTTTCATCCTTTGTCTTCTTGATCATTTCCTTAATTTCACCAAACAGAGCACAAAAGCCACTTAATTGCATTGTGCATACAACTCACCCCACAAAAAGCACAAAACTGATAAAAAAAAAAAGCTGTCATCGGGTTTTCATTCATGGGAGGTTACAAAAGCAGAATGACAAGTAGTTAGGATAAACACACTGGAGAGCAGCCTCCCTTGCAGCATCTCGGACTTCTGGTTTTTCATGTCTTTTCTTCTGAATTACCTCCAAGGTTGCACCAACAATAGATCTAGAGTAAGGCTTCTTTGTGGTCCTTCTCCTCTTCTTAACAGCCTCTTGTGCAGCTTATAGAAATCCCATTTAGACGTCGAATCCCAGTAATCGCTGAACTTGCATTTACACGCGAAGTTAAACCTCGGAGTCTTCAGATAGTCATTTGATGTTGCTATGAACCAAAATGAAGAAATATAGGTCAAAAGACAGGTTTGCCCTCAAATTTAACACCCCTTTAACAGCAAAGTTAACGGAGGACCACAAGTGGTTATTTTAAAAAAGACGGAGGACTACTCGTGGTCGTTTTAAAGTCAGATGACCAGTGTTGGTATATCGCTAATACTCGGAGGACCATTGGAGGTATTAACTCGTTATATCGTGGACCAGGGTCTACAGTGCACTGTGCACTCTAGTCCAATACAAAGAATTCATGTTCATAAAGCACAAAATTCATGTTCATAATATACATACATATAAACACGATATAATGAACATAAATTATGTGTATTATGAACATGAATTCTGTGCATTATATATGAACATGAATTCTATGTATTATATAGCTTATTACACATAAATACTTAACATAATGCACAAAATTTATGTTCATAGTGCATAGAATTCATGTTTATTATATCGTGTTTATGTGTATGTGTATTATGAACATGAATTATCACTGCTGGAAATTATGGAATTTCCGACCACCTGAAAGTGATCTTAAATCAAATCGAAAGCCTTGTTCCGACCACTTTTGGTATCAGAAAAAACCTTTGTTGCTATTTTCGACCACTTTTTACTTTTGACTTGATTTAATATCACTTTCAGGTGGTCAGAAATTCTATAATTTCCAGCAGTGTATGTGCATTACAAACATTAATTATGTACCTTATGAAGTCAAATTCTATGTATTGGACTAGGGTCCACAATGTCCTGGTCCACGATATAAATTGTCAAGGAAAACACTCGAGTTATAGAATAAAGGTGAAAAATACTTGACTCAAGTCCCATTGGTTGAAATAAAGGTGTAAAATAAATTGGAAAAAAAAAAGGTAATAAACATTTATACTTTTACCATAGGTTTACGTAATAGAATATAATAAAATTCAAAAAAAATATTAATCCATGACTTATTTAGATTGGCACTAATGCATCTTACACCAAATACTATCCCATAAGTTTTTGGGGTTGAATTGAGTAGCCTGGATACATTTATTCCCATAATCTATCATTATAATAAAGCACTAAGTTTCTGCCTAAAAATTTCTCCCGCCCACACAAAACGGCAGCGTTTAAAGCCATTAAACAATTGCAGTCGTATTAAATGCTATTCACACTCGGTTGCAGATCCTGAGGAGGCTTAGCCGAAATAACTCCGGGAATATTATATTGGGAACGCGTGAAATATTGCTTTTCCAATGGATTTTCAATTTTCAATTTTAAATCCGACTTATGGACTTCACATTAAAATCTCCGGGAAGTGTATTGCTTTGTTATAGATACATGGCCAGCGTAAACCAATGGCTATATAAGACTTCTATTCGAATGCAAACATTACAACGAAAGCTAATAAGAATGCTACTTCCATTATACATCTTTGAACTGTAATGGCTTCTATATACATGTTTGGCCGTGATGTATCACCTTTCAAAACAAGAAGCACAATCAAAGTTATGGTGGTGCATAGCACAATCATATAAAATCCTAGAAAGAAAAGGCTCTTCTACAATCAAGTGCAATGAGTTCTTCTCCCATGATCAAGAGGTATTTGCATCTACCAGATTGTTGATTAAAAATCTTTTTTTTTTTTATGTATATCACTGTCCACATTGCATTTTTTCTTAACATGGCAGTAAAAAGAAGATGGTTGTACAATGCATGATCCTATTGGCTGCAATTTAGTGGTAAAAAAATGAAGTACCAAGAGAACATGCATCCTATCTGAAATTTTCAGTAAGATCTATATCTATAAAATAGGACTTTTTCATTAATCATATTACTATTTCTATCCTTTAAATAATCAGTCCTATAACCCATATGTTGAGAAACACTCTGTTTCTTTATCTTGATTTATGTTTCTATCCTTTAAAATATAATGTACTGTCATGTAGTGTGCTGTGAAGTAATCATATTTTAGGACAATATGATAATAAGCTCTAATAATCAATGCAGGGCAATATTAAATGTGTAGAAAACTGTTACTATCCAAGATGATATGCTTTGGGAAACAACAGAATAGAGAAGGGATGGAAAAACTAACATGCTTAGCAGTGATGGGAAGGAAGAGGAAACATCCTGGGGATGAGTGCATAACAAAGGTACCATCTGTTCATATCTTCTCAGTGTTTGTTCTTAAAGAAATTGATATACCTAGGTCTGAAGAAATGTACCACATCAAGTTTTAGATGTATTACAAAGAAAACAGAACTGATATTCATGTAAAGGAGTACACAAAATTTAAGAACTCAGTTAAGTAAAATCTATTAATGTTTATCTATAATTAAACAAATTAAGCACACTTTAAATAGTCTGATATTGAATCACGTATCTGGAAAAATAGTCTTTTATTTTTGGAATTAAAATTGATAAACATTAAAATAAGGTACTGTCTGTTCATATCATCTCAGTGTTTGTTCTTAAAGAAAGTGATATACCTAGGTCTGAAGAAATGTACAACATCAAATTTTATATGTATTACAGAGAAAACAGAATTGATATCTATGTTAAAGGAGTGCCCAAAATTTAAGTACTCAGTTATGTTTATCTATAATTAAACTGATTAAGTACACTTTAAATATTCTGATATTGAATCACATACCTGGAAAAATAGTCCTTTAAATAATTTATTCTATTATGACAAAGCAAGAACTATTAAAATAAAATTGATAAACATTATATGTATGCACTTGACAGATAAATCATGTTGACCAATAAGTCGACACTTGACATAGTGTATACATATCATTGTTGCAGCTATTTTCCATTTTCCAATGCAAATAACTAATAAAGATATACATTTATTGGTAGTATGCATCCTTAGTGGTGGTTCTTTATCTTCTGAAGCCAATTTTCATAACCCACTAATGGCTTAATTTTTCTACCATATATTTCTAACGGAGTTTCTTAAATAAAATTAACAAATAAAGGGGATTCAACCTTGCAGAATGCAACGAACAAAATTAAGCATACCTTCCAAGTACAAAAGGCAGCATATGTTGAATAGATGTTCTAAGCCGTAAGTCATCATGTTGCCATATGCATATTTTAAACCAAATCCTTATGTTGCCATATACATATGTTGAGTAGTTGTTGGAAGGTCTAAAGCATCATGCTGACATACATTTCACAAAAATTAAAGGCGAGAGCCATATGCGCAACATACTTCCAAAACAGTATAGTCTTAATTTCTTTAGTTTTCGGAAGGCTCCCAAGGTGATGAAGTAGATAGTCCAGTCACAACAAACAAATAAAGCTTGGTTTGTGTGTGATGGACAAACTTCATTATCTGCAGTGTTGTTTTGATGTTGTTTTGGACCTATTTAATTTGTAGCACTTCAAACAATGCTATCAATTTTCAGGACTGTGTTTATGATATTATCAGTTATCTACTTTAATTCCTAATTTTTCTTTTTTTTTCTTTCGCTTTAAGTTAATGTTACATTCATGCTTAGTTTGTTGATCCATAATTTACCTAAGTGTTTGTATTATACTATGGTTTTCTATCACTTACAAATCACAATTGATGCAGGATGCGGTGTGTATGAAGTTAGATATAAACAAAACATGAACACATGAAGAATCAAGTGGAGAACCAGGCATTGATGAAAAAAGAATTTGAATTATTGGCTGACTTATGATGTAGTTTTAGTCCTTTTTAGTAATTAACTTTGTATTGGTTTTGTCAATTATAATGCTGCAATCTGTTATCTATTTGGAAATTATTGACTAAAAATCCAATAACATATATATTCACAAAGCTATTTTCACAGCATTCCACAAAGTTTGAAAAAGCATGTAAACAGTCTAAGGTTTGACACTTTGCAACACAAAGGGTAAAATTTCATAGGTTGCAAGGACTATCCATTTTGACAGCTGCTTCAAAAAAGCCATGAATTTCCTAGAATATGGAAATCTGACCATCAGAGTTTGTATTAGATTTTTTAGTACAGCATTTAGTTAAAGTTCCTATAATTTAGCCTAATGGAACACTAGCAGCACCACAAGGAGGACAAGAAAGTCTTTTCACTTCAATTGAATGAGAATCTGGACTGACTGCATACAAAAAACTATGGGGCTCAGTGGCTCACCTTGCATGCTGACATGCTGCACCAGTTGAGGGCTGAAGAAGGGTTTTGTTGCTTCCAATTATGCACCTATCATTGCGGTGCTGATAGAAAAACCGGAGGGATGATGAGTGATGATTGTTCTTGATAATGTTGCAAAGATCTGGATCTTTGGATGTGAAGTGAAGAATCGAAATGAAGATCCATTAAGATATCAAGAGTGCATTTCTATTAGGACCATTAGATGAATCTAAAATTTGCGCGTGTGATTTGTTCTTCCTGCAAACATCGGCCACAATCAAGCTCCCTGAATCGCACCATCCCCAACAAGGTCCCTGTCAGAACACTGAAATGGAAGGAGTAAAAAATGTTAGAAGTATGATGTGTAAAATAGTCGTTTTGTCCTGATATGCCGTGATGTAAAAAACAGATAAGAGTCACTCCAATTCACCATTCTGAACTCGAAGGTTTTGTCCTGATATGCCGTGATAGAAATCTTGCATCATATGGTGTAATCTTACACTTAATCGTAGATAGCGAATGAAATTAAACACTAATTATGCAGGGTATTCGACGTATACAATTACGGATCGAATACTTAGCTTAGTCGACATCATTCGTCTGATTTCGGCGACTCTTAACAATAATATCATCGTCCTAACATTAGGACGAAGATACCTTAGCTTAGTTGTATAGGCTCCAGATCTGTTGTGACAGTACCAGACGAAGAACACATAAACCCTAAATCACTAATTTACACTTATAATTTACACAACAACAACTACTGTAAACATGTTCAGATTTGGTGTACACTGGACTTTGATGGAAGATACTACATGATAAAAATGGAAAGTAGACTAAGAACATAAGAAAGTAGAGATTTCGAATCGGACATAGCCAGAGAGAAAGGGGGCGGATGTAGAGAGAAGATGAATCGACGGTGAGCTGATATTTTGCACTTCTACGCGTTTTTTTTATTTGTTTTGCTGAGTTGGGTCGGGTTTGGACTTTATTTTTAGACCATAGGTTGGGCTAAACATACATAGGAATTAAAATATATAAGTTTTATATATATTAGGGTTATTGCCAATACGGTAGCTCATGCCTTAGCAAAGCATATTAGTGCGGCTGACTCTCATTCTGTCTGGAGGGACTATCTTCCTTCCTTTGTTTCGTTTACAGTTTAATGCAATCTAATTTCCTTGGCTTTCAAAAAATATAATATGATATTATTAGATTATACAATTATTGAATTATTATATATCATTGTATAATATGCTTCATATATAAAACATATACTAATTAATAATATTACTAAAGATGTACTGTGAAACTGTGCAAATCATTGTGTGCATCAAGGTCCACAATGATGTGTGGACCTACCATCTTATAATACATTTGTAATACATGATCATTTCAAAGTTGGCTGATCATGTTTTAGAAGTTCAAATATTGTGCGAGTCAAGTGCTGGTACAAAGGTCTTAATTCCAAGGATGACCTTAACACCTTCTGATCCAAGATTGCCTTTTAATTTCTAAAGAAAACAATTTCCACTTATATGCAATGACAATAAATAAAAGCCATCCACTTATATGCAATGACAATAAATAAAAGCCAGGGTCTGACACTATCCAACGTGGATTTATTTTTGAAGAGGCTGATTTTCAATCATGGTCAAATGTATGCAGCAGTGAAAAGTTAGTAATCATAAGAGATTAAAAATTCTTATTTGTAATGAAAATGTAAAATCTCAAAATACGACTTCAAATGTCGTATACAAAGAAGTATTCAATAATATTTAATCAATTTTAAATAGTTGACTATCCATTTTTTTTTTACAATTATACTATATATTATAATATTTATACATATTGCCGTGCAACGCACGGGTGCAACTACTAGTACCTTATATAATCATGCAAGCATTTTTTGTTACACATATTGCAAGAAGCATCGATATTAATCGACATCGTAAATTTTTTCTACACTAAAAACCTCAAAAAATTTTAAAACTGCAAGCTTTAATGCATTTGTAAGCTGGTCTACCAATAAAGTTTGAGACTTCAGATCCCAATGAAAGATTTTATGAGAATGACAATAAGAAATTCCATAGAGTATGCATTTGATATAAAAACATCTGCAATATATAAATGAATAGGCATCAATAAATAGCAAGTCCAAAAAAAAAAAAAAAAAAAAAAAAAAAAGTGGTAGTGAGTATATTGTATATATCAATCACTATCTTGTAGTCAATCGTTATGCCATGGAACCGTCCCAAATGGTAACGGTGCCTTCAGGCACTGTTATCTTCCACCAATCTTTCTTCTATTTTTTTTTAATAGTGCGATTTTTCTTCTTCATATTCATATTTTGCGGTTTCACTTCTTCTTCGCGCAAGTTTCTTCAACACTCATAAATTATGAATGTGCATGTATGGATTTATGAATGTGCAGTTATGAAATTATGAATTTTCTGTTATGAGATTATTAATTTTCTGTTATGAGATTATGAATGTACAGAAAATTCATAATTACATAATCGTAAATTCATAATCTCATAACAGAAAATTCATAATTTAATAAATATTTTTCTTTTATGAGATTACGAATTTCATGTTATGAAATTAAGAATTTTCTGTTATGAGATTATGAATTTTCTATTATGTGATTATGAATGTACAGAAAATTCATAATTACATAACTGTAAATTTATAATCGCATAACAGAAAATTCATAATTTAATAAATGTAAATTCATAATCTGAACATAGAATGCAAAACGCCGTTAACAGCACATTAACTAAATTATTTTTTCAGTAAAGATATTGTTTGGCACCGTGTTCACAAAGCATGGTGAACACGTTTCTACGGCATAATTTGCATCACCCTTACTTTTCTGCATTACTTAATAGACAAAGTAACATTTATAGGAAAGTATCCAAAATTTATAAAAATACATTATTAGAGTAATGAGAGAGATAACCCAAAGGGGTAGCTCAAGTGGCAAATGAACTCTCTTTGTGGGGTAAAATTCTGGGATAACCCGAGTTCGTTCGATTCCCACAAATGATGATTCCCCTTGGGCCAACTCCCGTGTCTCCCGGAGTGAACGGGGATTAGTCGGGAAGACCTGGACCGTTAAACGGACAGAGAAAGACTAGGGCCGTTCCAATAAAAATTAGGGTCCTGTGCAATCTCTTAATTTGGACCCCATTTTTTCTAAGTAATTTGTATATATAAATAATAGTTTTTCAAAAAGTTGTGCCAAAAATTCAAAACATAAATATTGTATAAAAAAAAATACATCTAAAATTTCATTTAAAAAGTCACATGCGCCGTGCACACTTAGACGCAAAATCATCCACCAAACTTTTGATATCAACTTCTTCCAAAATCTCATTTTCAATAGAGATTAAAGCTAATCCATTAGACATTGTACGTAGTCTAATGGCACCCGGGTTGGACTCCTATATGGGAGGTTGAGAGCTCGAGCCTATGTTGAGAAAGTAGTTATGGACAGATATTACATTCTAATAGAGTTAGTAGCATTCAAAAAAAAAAATTGTTTCAATGACTTCAAAATACTCACTGCTCCTATATTTTCTTTCGATAAAATCTCTCAACAAGACTTCAAATCCATATAAGCCATTGATTGTAACTTGTGAGAACTAAACACACACACACACACACACACACAAAAACCAAAAGTTCCTTCATATACTTCATATTGTTCAAACCTCTGGGTCAATGAAATAATAGCTTGATCTACAATGTATAAAAAATATGAACCCTAAAAGATTCTTCTGGTGAAAATAAAGTGTCATCAGCACTCTCATCAAATTGTCATTTTATACGAATTTTTCGCTTTTGAGGAAACACTGACTCAATTTCTAATTCAGTGGCAATTTTCTTTGCAATATCCATGGCAGTAGAAAAATCATTTTCTCTATAATTCTTGAAGAAAA